AGTCTTGGGAGATAAACATCTTAATCCAAAAGGCTTAAATTCCTTTGTTCCTTAAAAAAATAAAATAAAAGCAAAAACATGGCACTTCCCCAGAGAAGAGCAAAAGAATGCTGGGGAGAGATACTTCTATGTCAGGGTAAGAGGGTATGATAAAAAGTAACACAGAAAGCAGTCAGCTAAAAATGGAATTGATGAATACTTAATGTGAGTTAACAGAGAGTTCACATCAAAACAAAAAGAATTTATGCTAAAATTACTAAAAGGTCTATTTATAGGAAAAATTTGAAGTTGCAAATTGTCAGATAAGGCAAAATTAATTTTGTAAAAGTATGAAACTCTGGAAGAACAGTAAGTTTACGTAGGAAAATAAGTGGAAAGGGGATTAAAGTAGAAATGCCAAAAATAGAAGAGTGAGTTAAGAGAATTTGTGAGGACAGGAGCAGATTGATGGGAAAAAGCAGAGGCCAAGAGACTGATGGTATTTGATCTTAGATTTTTCAAAGGCAAGCATAAGAGAATACTGGCAGGTCTTAGAACTGGAAAGTTCAGTGGTGGAAGGGATAATGTAACTTAGCTCTGTTTGTCAGACGATACAGAAAGACTGAATCGAGTCAGAACATAGTGCTCAAAAAGTGAATAATGTGACGACCAAAAGTGAAAGGAGCCGAAATGCTTCTAAAAATATGCGGAGAAGTAATTTATCACCCAAACCGGGACTCGCAACACTGAGAGAGATGCCATTAATAATTATGCCAGGACAACGGGAGAAAGCTGGGACCGTTTCCGGAAAAGTGGGGAGCAGTCACCCTACTTATAGCCAAGTTCAAAGCATTTTTTAAGGATTACTTAAAATAGTGGTTCTCCACTCTATCAGAACAAATACCCACTTTTTATAACACACATTAACTGACACCCTCATGCCATCCTGATCAAAATTCCCTTCTCATCATGCATACATATATGTGATAATTTCAAAAAGAAAATAATTGTAAAGTTTTAACTAAAGCATTAAGGTGATATAGAGGGAAAGTGAATCATAATAATAGGATTCCAACATGCAACTGTTTGAGCATGACAATTTCAATATGTAAATGCTCAGGAAAATTAGATGACAATGAAAAGGCAGATGCTTCCATTACCTCGTAAAGCATGTTTAGATTTAAACGTGAGTGATCAAAAATCATACTGTACAAGTAGCACGGCAAAGGGCAAGAGCACAGGTATACAAATGGACACTAGAATACTCAAATAAAAAGATGTATAGGTATTGCCCGGGCGCGGTGGCTCACGCCTGTAATCCCAGCACTTTGGGAGGCTGAGGCAGGCGGATCACAAGTTCAGGAGTTTGAGACCAGCCTGACCAACATGGTGAAACTCAGTCTCTACTAAAAATACAGAAAATTAGCTGGGTGTGGTGGTACGTGCCTGTAATTCCAGCTACCCAGGAAGCTGAGAGAGGAGATCACTTGAACCCAGGAGATGGAGGTTGCAGTGAGCCAAGATTGCACCACTGCACTTCAGCCTGGGTCACAGAGCAAGACTCTATTTAAAAAAAAAAATGTATATATAAAAAAGAAAGAAGAAAGTCACTTTAAAAGAAGGTCACATAGCAAGACAAGTTACAGACCACTGAAGTAGAGATTTTTAAAAAGACTATTAATGTATTGATGTGGTGTTAAAACAATTCTCTGTTTTATGATATGGGATCAAATAGTAAAAAATTATCACAGTAAAAGTTATCACAGAAAGGCAAGGTGGAATTTCAAGGTAAAATCCCACCTTACCTTGAAATATACATTCAGTGAATGGTTTGGATGAAGGAACAGTGATAATAACAAGAAGCTATAGGGAAGCCATGTGTTAGGATGAGAACAGCAGTCATCTCCAAAAAAACCATTAATACATAATATTTTTGCAACATAGATTACTGCTCCCCAAAGTTTTCAAAAATGTGAGCAGGTAATAAAATTCACTAAGATGCCTACATTTTATGCATCTCCACTAACTTAAACTATTTGTTTCTAATATTAAGAGTTGTAAGCCTCTTCTGATCCACATTTTCAAGGCAATAGTGTAGTAATTACATTATCTATATATATAATTATATGACATAATTATATAGAAATGCCATATTTCATTTAGTAGAAAATTTGTGCAGAGTAAATTTTTCAATAATTTTGGAGCTGTAGCTTCATTCCTTTTAATCTTCCCTCTAGATGATGACCGTTTCTTCAATTACTGGGCTTGTTTTACAATGTCTTGAAGACTTTTTTCTTTGTATTTTTGAAGACTAAGAAACCATCAATTTATATATTTGTGGTGTCTGTTCTGGTAGGACTGTGACGAACTGGGAGAAGATTCTTGCTGTGAAGCCCATCCTGTACCTCTGGTGCTTGCCCCCTAAATCTGCCAACTCTCCCAATCACTGGGAAACCAAGAGGGCCCCCTTGAATCTCCTAAGTGCCCCCTAGAGGGTGGTACTGTCTCTGTTTAGAGCCAGTGGCTTAAGAAAACCTCTGGAGAAATGCCTAGAACCAGAACTTCTGGTTAAATATTAAACTTGGTATTGAAGAAAAAAGGAACAAAAAAAGTCAAAACTAAAGGTCACTGAAATTGCTCAATGTGGATCACATTTTTGTAGATATTCTCTTCTTGGAAGAACCCTGCCTTTCTTTTAAGGCTCAGATATTATTCTGGATTTTATTGTACATGTCAGTCTACTTGCTGAAGGTCTGACTAGTGCTTATATATACTAGAAACAGAATGCCTTTCTTAGTACAGGGAATGAAGTCCCAATGACAGCTACAGAGGCAGTCAACAAATATTTACTGAGCTTTTTCTACAGGCCAGACCATGGCTCAGGCCCTGTGTTAGCTTCCTTACACTGGGGATTCAGTAAGTGATAAAAAGAGATATGTCTTGCCTTTCTGGAGCTTACAGTTCTAGTGGAGAAGAAAAACATTTAAAATACTTATTTACAATTTTTTTTTTAATATTTTTTTAAGATGGAATCTCACTCTGTCACCCAGGCTGGAGTGCAGTGGTATGATCTCAACTCAATGCAACCTCCCCATCCTGGGCTCAAGTGATTCTCCTGCCTCGGCCTCCTGAGTAGCTGGGATTACAGGCACCCACCACCACACCCGGCTAATTTTTACATTTTTAGTAGAGACTGGGTTTTACCATGTTGGTCAGGCTGTTCTCGAACTCTTAACCTCAAGTGAACTGCCCACCTTGGCCTCCCAAAGTACAGGGATTACAGGTGTAAGTGGCCACACCCAGCTTTATTTACAATTTAAATACAAATAAATTCAAGCATAAAGAACCACGAAGCCAGGCATGGTGGTATGTGCCTGTAGCCATAGCTTCTCAGGAGGCTGAGGCAGGACTGCCTGAGGCTAGGAGTTTGAGCTTTATTGTTCTTTATATCCCGGCACAATGTTAGCACATTCAATAAAATCTGAGGGATGAAGAAGAGGCTAGAACTATGAGCAACTGGAAAAAGCCTAAATTCACAAAGGGCCAGGGTGGAGATGGGAGAAGGAGGTAGAGGAACACAAGATGGAAAGAGGAGGAGGCAGCCTCAGAAGCAAAAATCTAAGTTGGGCCCAAAAGGGCAACCCATGTATACTTTGGAGGTTAAAAGAGGCAAAGGCAAAGTGGACGGTGAAGATAAAGGAGGGAAGGGAATCCAGGTAAAGGAAATTTAGAAGTCATCCTTTAAGAACAGAATGAGATCAAGTAATTTTCCAGCTAACTCTTTTGTATACTTTATGAGTAAGGCCGCTTCTGCCAAGGCAGTCTTGACACACAACTATTCTGCAGCAAAGAGCCTGGTGGGGCAAAAAGAATAATTTTCCTCTCTATCACACTTGTAAACTTTAATCAAAGACAGAAAAGGACAAAAACGCAGAGCATTTTAAGATCCTGCCTAGATTTTGAAAAATAGGGCATATACCCCTAGAAAACGAAGAGTCATTAGGGAGTTTTAGAGGTTTAAAAGCATTTATAAAGAACATGAATGGGAAATATAATTATACGCCCTCCGGATAGGTAGAAAAGTTAAAGGAAGACATTCCAAAATAAATAAGTGAGCAAAAAAAAAAAAAAAAAAAGAAGAACCACAACAAACATCCAGGAGGAACACAATAATTTAAAACTCGGCCAATATAAATAGACATGGCCTTAAAATGTATAATGTCATCAATCCAACCCAAGGTGAAGATGAAAGGAATCTGAGAAATCTGCCCTGAAAAGAGCAGTAGCAACAAAAGATGGCACAGGGGCATTTCCTACGAATTCAAGGTGGCCCAAGAATCCTGGTGTCAATGAGCTACATTAGTGGTTGTCGGGGTTACTCTTCTCCCCTAAATCTTCTGACATGGGGTCATTCTCCCTTCTGCTGTCACAGAAGGACCCGCTGGCTGGTTCTCTCTCTCTTACATAGTCAGAGTCTCGGTCTTCACTGCCGTGGTTTCACATGGGTGTAGAAGCGGGGAGCTGCAGCACTGAGGGGTGGGTGGCTGGGGGTTGCGGGGAGATATGCTAGGACCATGTGGGAGGGGAGAGTCAGGAAGATGGCTCCAGCCCAGTCCTTGTTTTCAGTAGCCCTCCAGGTGATTCTGATACACACTCAAGTTTGAGAATCACTGTACTAGGTGGAAAGTATCACATATGTAATTAAATCCCTCCTTGCTACTCCAAGAGTGGTCTGTGGAACCAGCAGCATGGCATCAACTGGAGGCTGGACATGCAGACTCCCAGGCTCTACTCCAGACCTGTGTAATCAGCATCTGCATTTCAACCAGATTCGCCAGGTGATTTCTGTGCACATGCATTTGCATAACCAATCCTGTAAAGTGGGTGATCCATCTGAGGTCTGGATCTCCTCTGGGACTGCCAGTTTGGCTTTCCCTGGACTCCTGAGCTTATGTCCTTAAAGTTAACCCTTTATTACCTGAAGCAACTCACTGGTCCTTGAAGTGGACCTTTTTTTTTTCTTTTTAAATTGCTTTATTAACTTTAAATTTTTCCATGCACATGGGTGAAACGCTACTGCTGACAGAAACTTAGACTGAGTGCAAAGGCAATCTCCAATTAGAAGCTGGCAACACAAGACCCACTTGACACATGGAAATAACATAGGGTTCACAGCAAACGGATCAGTAAAGGCATATTAGGAAAATGCAAGGAAAAGGAAAACAGCAAGAATCACAGTATTAATCTCATGATAAATGGCAGGAATCAAGGTATAAGGCAAAATTCATCATGATGGTCATGGTGATTAGAGAGCTCTCCTATAAGGATACGCAGACAATTCCTGAACTGCAGCTCCCTAAGTTTTCTCCTGATTTGTCTCATCTCTTCCATGAATATTTCCATATCATCTCCAACTCCACCCATCCCATCATTGACCTGCCTATTGGGTATGGCCCATCGAAAATTAGGGGCAAGTCGGCAAGCCTGTGCCCGTCGATTTCCTGCAGGCCGGTGGCCTTCACCTCCTCCCAAAGGGCAGTCTTCCTCTCTATTCTGCATGGGCTGCTCCATCTCTTCATTTTCCTGGGCCTATCCTTGTGGTCTCCTCTTCTTCCAGATTCTCACCTCTAGGTGCGCTGCTGGGACACTTAGCCTCGCAGACCTGCTCCACTTTTCCCCAGGCCGGATGCCAGCCTGCCAAGCACAGGGCGGCGGGGAGCTGGTAGCCAGACACGAGTGACCGAAGTGGACTTTTAAGGGCCTTCTCAGACTGCGACCAACGGGGCCGGGTCACACCCACCATTTGGGCATCACCCCTCACTTCACCTCATGCCCGAGGCTCACTGTGTGGATGTGGTAACCCAGGACTACTCACCACCTGTGTTAGTCTGTTGTTGTATTGTTATAAAGAAATAACTGAGGTTGGGTAATTTACACAGAAAAGAGGTTTATTTGGCTCATGGTTCTGCAGGCTGTACAAGAAACATGGCACCAGCAACTGCTTCTGGTGAGGGCTTCAGGAAGCTTACAATCATGGAGGAAGGTGAAGCAGGAGCAGAAATGTCAGATGACAAGAGAGGCAGGGAGGCAGGGAGGGAGAGAAGCGAGAGGTCCCAGGTTCTTTTAAACAATCAGATCTCATGTGAACTGAGTGAGAACTCATTATCACCAAGCGGATGGTATTAAGCCATTCATGAGGGATCCACCCCCATGATCCAATCACCTCTCACCAGGCCTTACCTCCAACCTTGGGAATCACATTTCAACATGAGACTTGGAGGGAATAAACATCCAAACCATATCAACACCTGTTCATCTATGTGGCTTTCTCTTTTTGCTCTGTGTAAACCTTGTTTAACCCTTTTCAGGTGGCAGCTTCTAGAGCTGCATTGTTCAAAACAGTAGCCTTTAGCCTTGAACACTTGACATTATAGCTAGTCTGAAGTAAGGTGTGCTGTAAGTGTAAAAGACAGCCCAGATGTTGAATATAAAATATCTCAATAATTTTTATATTGATTATACATTGAAATGGTAATATTTTGGATATAATAGGATAAAATATTTTATTAAAATGAATTTTACCTGATATTTTTAAATGTGGCTACTAGCAAACCTAAGATTATACAAACCTGGGCAACATGGTGAAACCCCATCTTTAAAAAAATAAATACATAAGGCCGGGTGCAGTGGCTTACACCTGTAATCCCAGCACTTTGGGAGGCTGAGGCAGGTGGATCACAGGGTCAGGAGTTCGAGACCAGCTTGGCCAATGTGGTGAAACGCTGACTCTACTAGACCTACAAAAATTAGCTGGGCATGGTGGCACACACCAGTAATCCCAGCTACTCGGGTTGCTGAGGCAGAAGAATTGCTTGAACTCAGGAGGCAGTTGCAGTGAGGCAACTCCAGCCTGGGTGACAGAGCAAGACTCCATCTCAGAAAAATACAGACATACATACAAATAGATAAATTAGCCCAGTATGGTGGTACATGCCTGTAGTCCCAGCTACCTGGGAGGCTGAGGTGGAAGGATTGCTTGAGGTCAAGGCTGCAATGAGCTGAGATTACACCGCTGCACTCTGGTCTGAGCAACAGAGAAAGATCCTGTCTCCAAAAAAACAAAAAAAAAAAAAAAAAGGAAAGGAAAGAGGAAAGGGGAAAGGGGAAAGGAAAAAGGAAAGGAAAGGAAGAAAAGAAAAGAAAAAGAAAAGAAGAGATTATATATATGGCTCACAGTAAATCTCTACAGGACAGGTCTGTGGTCCTCTACCGCAGAAGCTCTCTTCTGCAGGTCTCTTCCTTGCTCTGCACCAAGCCTAATGACCTGCCCTCAGCGGGTGGGCAAGTGTCAGAGCTGGCTTCAGAGAGGCTTCCAGGGGCTCAGACCAAGGCTGATTTCCATCATGTAAGGCCTTGAGTAACTGCATGGCCCTCATTAAGGCACTCACTCTATTGGGGGATCCTGAATGTTTCTTGCGCCTGATAGTAAAATTGAAAGTCAGACGAGGAATCTTTTTCTCTTGCAGATTTCCCTTTGTAAGTAGCTCTAAGGATGCTAATGCCAGTTCAAATGATGAAGTTACCACTTTCTGGGTGCTATTTGCTACTAGCTGTGCTTATCCTTATACCACACTGTGGGGCAGCCATGAACTCTAAGGCACAGAAAAGGAAGTAAGGCTTAGGAAAGTTAATTTATCCAGAGTTAGAAGTTAGTGGAGCTTAAATTCAATCCAAGACCATTTGACTTTCTTTGCATTGCACAACACTGCCTCCTAAACTCGACCACTGAAGGATTACAAAACTCCACATATGAATTACGCTCTGAATTCCTGGACCTCTGCTCACTCCAAGTAAGAAGCATAGCACAGAGTTCTGGAGAGAAGGCAGGTGGGCTACTAGGTTTCCTTTGTAAAGGGTTGAGCTAGCCTGGCACAGTCAATAACTTATCCACGGCAGAAGGGCCAGGCCTAGGTCTTTGGCGTGGCCTCAAATCACACATTAGCTTAAAACTGGCCTTGCTGCAGAAACAGAACGTACATAGGGCTCACACACGTCTAAAGAGCTGCATCCTTTAGGCTGTTCTCTAACTCCTAGGGTTAGAAGTCGGAAAGCATCTTACATTTTATATCTTGATTTTATTTTAATTAACAATATCTTAATTTTAATTTGAGGACCTGAATCTCCTCATATTAAAACCAAAGAGGAGGAGTGCAGTTGAGAGCCTTAGCTCTCCTTTCTCTACAGCTCTCAGCCTGATTTCCTTTCCCCTGCCCAGAGTACCATGACCTACTAAACATTTTCCTGCTTGGTCGTGACATCAAATTTCACTATCTGAACAGTGGGGACTGAAGAAAACATTTTCATATTATCCAGGTTTTATATGCCTCCCCTGTATTCCTAACAGACTCCAGTCTTCCCTTAATATGAATCATAGAAAACAAGTGTTATCCCAGGCTGCAGAGACCACCAAAGTCAAACCCTTTATCCTGCAGAAAGACAGGTACAGAGGTTTAGAGTCACACATCTCATTAGCACAAACTCATAACTCGATGCTCTTTCCATTTCCCCAGTTCCAAACAGGAACTCAGAAGAGGTGACATGTTCTGAGCAGGGGCCACTTTCCATCTGGAATGCCCCAGCCACTGGCACTCAAAGGTCATTAGAGTAAGTGAGTCACTCTGTTAAAGAATTTAAGGAAAGCATCCAAACTATGCATGCTCTGCGAAACAGCCTGTTGGCCCTTCCGTGGTGTGGAGAGACAGGGAAAACAGGGCAAAGAGTGGCCATTGGCCCAGGTGCACCTCGCCCCCTTCTGAAACCTTCCCTGACTACCATAATCTGCCATCCAGTGTCCTCTGAAGGCCAGGTCGAGAGGACAGTCTTCTGAAAGAGGAGAAACGGTCTCAGCCTTGGTTTATAAACTTCCAGGCTTAGAAAGGTCTGGAAGGGTCAGGGAACCTTGTGTTACTTCTGAGGAGCTGACTGACCCCATGTCCTTCCTGATATCAAGGCTTTATTTAAGTGTCAGCCAGGGGCCTGAACTGGAGATGTTCTTACCAGTGGAGTGGCTTCAGCATGGCAGAAGGACACATTAGTAGCAAAAAAAAAAAAAAAAACCAAAAAACAGTTTTACTTATGACCCAGTGTTTCTCCAGAAGCTTTAAAGTTAATAGGACTTTTTCAAGTACCAAGGGAGAAAAAAGACAAAAATATTAGGTTGGTGCAAATATAATGTGTTTTCTGCAATTACTTTTAACTAATATGTTAACACACTGATGTTTCTACTTTCTACATATTTTTCTGAGTTACATAATTTTAATAATGAGCATGTATTACTTCAAAATGATGCTAAAGACGATGTTAATGATGATAAACATCGTTCACTCATTCCTCAAATATTTCAGTATCTACCATGTGGCAGAAAGCTTTCTAGATGTTGGAGATAAGGCAATGAGCAAAGAAAGTCCATGTCCTCCTAAATCTTACATTTATTGATGGGGGATGGAGGAGACATTGCAATGTGAGATGGTGATACATCCTAAAAGAAAAACCTCAAGTGGAGTGAAAGGATGGAGAGTCATACGGCTGGGATGTTTGGAAAAGGGCCTCTAAGGAGCGGACATTTGAGCACAGACCTGAAGGATGGGAAGGGCGCGTCACGTGAGTGGCTGAGGGAAGGGCTCTTCCTTTACACAAGAAACAGCAAGGGTGAAGGCCCTGTGGTCTTGCTCAAAGAAGGGCCAGAGGTGGGTATGACCACAGTGAGCTGCTTCTACCATGCAGAGTGGTGGAAGGTGGGTCTGAGAGCCAGGGAGGGGCCAGATTGGGTGAGGCTCTGTAAGACCACCCTAAGGAGTCTGATTTCAGCTGCAGTGTGAGGGGAAACCATGGGAGGGCTGAAGCAGGAGACAGGTGATACCTAGCTTGACCAACATTGTCTCCTGGATGTCTCCCTTGCTTGTAGGGACCACATCTCTCCCATTAGATGGGAAGGTCCTGAGTTTAGGGATGGGGTGTGTTTTCTCCTGTCAGTTCCTCCATCCTCCAAGAGAGGGTGAAAGCAGGAGCTGCAGGCCTTGGGGAAACCGAGAGCTCAGCTCCCTGCTGGACTTGGGCCTCGTGGGACTCACCTTCTACTGTCAACTCCACTGTCACCTGGCGGGCACCACTGCCATTGGTGGCTTCACAGGTATACTTTCCCCTGTCCTCCTCACAGACAGCACGAATCACAAGGCTGAAGGTCCCCCGGATGCCGCAATCCAGCAGGAAGCGGCCCCCGCTGGTGATGGGTTGCCCGTTTCTGTGCCATGTCACCTGGGGCTCTGGGTAACCCCGGACCTTCAAGAAAAAGAAGAAAGGGTAAGAGCCTGTATTTCGTGAGTACTCTCTCTGTGCCAGGTATTGTTCTGAGTGCTTTACATGCGTTAACTCATTTAATCCTCGTAACACTCCCATTTCATCCTGATTTTACAGATAAGGAAATCAAGGTACAGAGAGCTTTGGCAATTTTCCAAGGTCTTCAAGGCAGAAAGTGGCAAAGTCAGGCATGCTGGCTCCAAAGCCCACTACACAAATGACTCTCAAGCCCGGCTGCATTTTAGAATCATCCAGGGGAGCTTTAAAAAAGCACTAGTGCCCAGGCCCCACCCTAGACCAGTTAGATCAGAATCCCAGGGGGCGAGGACTGAGTATGGGGATTCTAGACCAATACTTCTCACTCTAACATGCTAATA